GCACATCCTTTGACGTTAACAACATATTACATGGGAGGCATTTTATCCTATCCTTTTGAAAATTGATAAGCCCACGTACAGTATTTTGCTTTCTTAACAATATGTGATTCCTTGCATTTATAATTTGCATTCAGCATTGTTTTTTCCCTTATACAACCCTTCCAGACCATGTGACCCATTTTTGGGTTGCAACCCACTGTTTGTACTTACTCAGATTAAAGCATTGTTTTGTGTTGTAGTGAGAGGAATGGAGAGAGTGTGGTCCAGTATGGAGAATCTGTATGAAGTCGTTGTTGGAAGGCCATTTGCAGGTTGAGAAGCAACAGTGAGGTTAAGGCCTATAAATGTATTCTGGTCACGCTCATTTAGTTATAGTGAGCAATACTATTTTTACCAATAGCCAATTTATAGCTTGTTAAAGATACGTAATGAACACATTTCAGGAATGTTGGGTCCTAAATGGTGTATAACTTTATATCATCCTTGTCTCTACAGTGGCTTTGGCACTGAGAATACTATTGACATAGAAACAAAATATTTAGTGTAATGTGTACAGGCTATATACAAAGTCATGACTGATTGGAGTTGAATATGGCCTGATCAGATGGATATTTGTGGCCTCGTAATACATTCAAAGCTAGTTTCTCATTTGTTGTATGTATAAGCTTAAGCTCAATTACCTGTTGACCCAATCATCATTAGTCATTTTATTAGCTGTGATTTGGATTATCATTGAATGCAGTTCAGATGCGGGAAGTTAATAATCCCAAAAATTACCTGGAGTGATTTGTTGCAAAGTACATTCATTTCCTTTGTATTAATGCATGCTCATGTTGTTATGTCACAGTTAATTGGAACGATGCATCATTAACATTCTTTCAGAGCCACGCTTGATTTGAAGTATTCCATTTAATACCAATAGATCAAAATATCTTCCCATATTTAAGAATTAAATGCATCTAATTGAATCTTACTATTAATAGTTGTGTAGACAGTAAGGAGCAAATTAAATCAGAGCTGTGTCTCTGTCTCCTAGACAGCCTCAATGAGTTTTATCCACAAAGGCATATCAATTTATCCAATACATCCCCCTGGTATGCTAATAATGATACTGTAAAAAAACCAGGCGAAATCATTTGCCGCCTGCCAGTTACAGTAACCAATATTTTTGATTCGTGAGAAGACAAATTGGAAGCATGTTATTGACAAATCCTAATTTAGAAGACTAGATCCCAATGCACTGGGCGGATCTCCATGGCCAAGTGACAATTTGTCATCATTATCATTAGCAGGCCGGTTTGCTTTCATTAACATACTAAAATAAGCCACAGTGACAGAAGGTCTCTCATGGTGTGATATCTGCCTTCATATGGTCCTTAAAAGGCACAAGATTTAATGAACAGCAGCTAAAAACACATTTTAATTTCGTGGGGTTAATATGCTTACTGTAGATTTGGAGGTTTTGTGTGTTTTATGATTGATGAGATCAGTTTTGGAGGAACATAATCTGCTGCTGTGAGTATTTCCATGGCAAAAAATTTAAACAGAGGCTTGAGCTTGAATGTAAAAATTAATGATTATGGTGCTCAGTTTGAAATGTGTTGAAAATTACCAGACGTAAAGGAGTTAAACAGTTGAGTTTTACCGTTTTCGAATCCATTCAGCCGATCTCCGGGTCTGGTGGTAGCACTTTTAGCTGCAGCTTAGCATAGATCATTGAATCTGATTAGACCATTAGCATCTCGCTCAAAAATGACCAAAGAGTTTCGAAATTTTTCTTATTTAAAACTTGACTCTTCTGTAGTTACATCGTGTATTAAGACCGACGGAAAATGAAAAGTTGCGATTTTCTAGGCCGATATGGCTAGGAACTATACTCTCATTCTGGCGTAATAATCAAGGAACTTTGCTGCCGTACCATGGGTGCAGCAGGCGCAATGATATTACGCAGCGCCTGAAAATAGTCCCCAGCTAGGTAACTTCCAACGGAAGTCACTCTCCCTGTGCAAGCAGGTGGTCACGTTGGTTATGTTGGCGGAAGTTAGCCTATTTTCAGGAGCTGCTTTTTTTTTTGTAGGCAAATAGGAGAATTGACAGACCATCCAAGATGTAGATGAGTTTCTTCTTCAAAACAGATTTGGAGAAATGTAGCATTACATCACTGAACCCTCCACAATGAAAAATCATAATGTAAATGTTTAAACTTTAAACCATTGCATTCTGGCCAAAATACCAAACCATAACAACACTTCCTCCATTGAAAAGGTCCATCCCCTGTTGTCAAAATCCACTGAAGTATTTGTTTAGAACTGTTTTAGCTAAGCTAACATGCTTGATCTGTGCATATTTTTCTCCTGATTCTGACAAGACAACTTTTTCACTGGAGAAAGTTATATTATGGACGAATTTGGACGATATTATAGGTGGAAGCAACAGTTTGAAGTCTTGATGATGGATTTGTTGCATGCAAACACAGATTTTCACTTCTCAAGACGTTAACTGATGCACCAAAGTTGTGTGGATTACTTGTGGATTATTGTGATGTTTTTAACAGCTGTTTGGGCTCATTCTGACGGCTCCTATTCGCTGCAGAGGATCCATTTTTGAGCGTGATATAATGATACATTTCTTGAAATCTGTTCCAATGAACAAACAAGCTTATCTTGGATGACCTGAATTTTTTTATGAGTTATCCAACGTCCACTGTAAAGATCACAATAAATGAAAGTGTTAGCATCATAATGGAAGATTAGAAAATTTAGACTAGATTTTGACGTTATTGTCTATAGAAAATGGTTAAACCATCTGTGAAAACATCTCACTTCATAGTGATCTCTCTTCATATTTCTTACCATGTGACAGAAATGCACTGGACGGAACAAATGAAAACCAATACTCTTCTCAGATGTGAAAGACAATGATGAGCCACATGAGAGGCAGTCATCAATTCTCAGATAACTGAAAGGTATGACAGCACTGAAAGAAACAGGCTGTATCTCCTACTGGCTGATGCAGTCATGTGATTGTCCATGTCAGTTGTAGCTCCAGCGAGCTATTGAACTTTACGATAGATTTTAAGATGCATGGCTGTGTGGAATATTAAATGGTAAACACATTCAACGAATGTGGCCCGTCTGTGAATGAAGGATATCAATTGATTTTTAAAGTGTGAGTTTAAGAGGCGCACAACAATTGGTGATATACATCATCTGATTGTATAGATGACCTTATTTGATTGACTTACATGATGACGAGAAGCTGAACTGATTTTTGGTCACCCCGTAAGAGGCCTAGTTTGTTTTTTACATTAATTATTTAGTAGTCTATGCAATCGTCTTCAATTTTCTTTTATGTAGACAAGCAGCATTTAGGTATTCATATCAGTCCCTTGACATTCCTGTCTGAACTAATGACTGGCCACTTTTAGGTTAAATGGTCCATGACAGGAAATTTATATTCCTTCTCCATCACTAATTTGGATGTGCAGGTGCGAATCAGAGACAAGTCACAGAAATACTGTCCATATGCTAATTTCACATATGCAATGAAGCATGGTGGTTTTGAAGTCACCTGCCATTCTTATATATATATATATATATATATATATATAGCTGGAGGGCAACTTTTTTAAAGGACACACAGCCTTCTAACATTTCTGAATGTGCAGTAATGAAATGCAAAAACAAACAAAAAACAAAAAAGCTTATAGAATTTGTATTATTTTATAATAAAAAACGCTTGACTAACTTTTGACTGAAGAATATATATATATATATATACAGTGGGTACGGAAAGTATTCAGACCCCCTTAAATTTTTCACTCTTTGTTATATTGCAGCCATTTGCTAAAATCATTTAAGTTAAGCAGTGCATATTTTAAATGCCATTAATTAATTGCATAATGATAGTGAGCATGAACTTAGCTTTTGGCGGAAATTAAGCTGTTGCGTGCAAAAAAAATTAAAAATAAAATAAATACAAATAAAATAATAATAACAATTTAACAAAAAAGGCACTTTGGCTTTTTACACCAGTTTATATGTTGGAACATCACTCTGTGTTTTTGCATTGCATAATTTACTTTAGCCTCTCCAAACAATGATAACTTTGCTTTTTTGTTTCTAACAGTTAATTAATTTGACTTCTTTTTGGACTTTATTTCTACTTTGTAGACATTACGCTGGTCGCTTATATAACTCAAATCCACAACATTTCTTAATTATTACATTTATTTCTGATCTGTGTGACTTTAAGCAAATTATTTGATTTATTCCTTGTTTTGTTTTTTTTACTTTAAAACATGAAACTTTCTCTTTATAAAGTAAATGTAATAGTTTAAGTAAATTTATTTAACATTATTTTCTAATATTATTAATTATATTAATACCAGTAATTTTAGCTGGTTGATATGATTAATTGTATTAAGAAAATATATTATGTGAAATTATACAGCAGTATTTTATTATTATTAAAAAAGCAACTACAATTTATGTATATCACCATAAATAGAATCCCCAACATAATAAGTCTTAAGTAAATGCTACCTTTAGGACCCTGTGGATAGCATATCCTAGTATTTACAGTGAAGAGATCCTTACATCATAGAGAAATATATAACTATCTGTAACCCATCTCCCTCGCCATTTGTTAGAATACAAAAGGGGGACTGTTTTCTGTCCGGTTTGTGTCTTTGCTGAAGTCCCATCAGAGTTTTGAACTGCTGGAAGAGAGAGAGGGACAGAGGATGTGCAGAAAACAGTGAGGGCTTAGTGGATGTGTAAAAGCAGAGAGTGTGTGTGGAGTGTCCATCTATGTGCGTAATCTTCCCCAGCCATCATTTCCCGCCGAACACTCGCGGTATAGACGCGTGAGGGAATGCGCGTGAGGATATTATCGGCGCGGGGGGGGTCTAATTGGTACGATTCTTGTCTCGCTCACGTCTAAAACGTCGAGGAAATAGTGAAAATACGGCGCGGGGGGGGGTCTAATTGGTACGATTCTTGTCTCGCTCACTTCTAAAACGTCGAGGAAATAGTGAAAATATCACAAAAGAACTGGTTGTCGTTATCCCCGCAAACAAGAAGGGAGTCTCTTGTTTTTTGGATAGAGGGCGGTTGAAAAAAAAAACCGTTCTTTCCGCAAGGAAGAACGGATCCTTGGCTATTTAAAGTTTAGTCAGGACGGTTACTGGCTCTGAGGTGATTGTTATGAAACTCACAGAAGAAAAAAACAATGAAGAAGGAGAAATTGTGGAATTTATGAGTTTGCACTGTTTGGGACACACGCAGAGGTGAATTTATGCTCATTTTGGTGGAACCGAAAACATTTAATTTGAAGTTTACCTGAAGAAATTTCCGCTTCGATAACGTCTTTTTAAAGAAAAGATTGACGTGCCGCGAGACACCTTTAAGCCGCTGTGTTTAGTCAGCCCGTTTAGTTCGGGTGGAGGTGTGGGGGGATTCCGTTTTTCCCCATAACTCATCACATTAAGATTAGCAAGCCGTCTTTAAGAGGATCCTCTATGGTCATTCATGAACTTGTTGAGCACACAGCCCTCCGCGGAACCCTTCACATCGAGAGTGAATCTCATTAACGTGAGTATTCCGTTTCCTTTTAAAGTTTAGGTTGATTTTGTGTGAATATGGGCGCCATACGTTAGTTAATAATTTTACTTTATGGGATCTAGTAATATGATTTCGTTGCAGCTTTAACTTTCCTCAGGCTTCATTCAGAATAGTTTGTGGTATATTGCCTAGTACTGCGCCTCTTTAATAGGCTGCTGATACTTAGAAGCTCGACTGTAACATGGAAAACGTATTTGTGATATGCAAGTAGAAAATGTATGCGAACCGAATATGATTTCAGCACCTTGGAGAGTGGACTTTCCTATGAAAGAATGCGAATGGAAGCGCCCCCTTGCGGCCATAATACGTTTAATTGTCTTTCTACGACCAGGTTGCTTTCACGCACTGTTAACTCTTGCCTGCTATGCTCTAATTTGGTTTAATCCGTTAAAGTAAAACATGTTCTTGAATATAAATCTTGAACAAACTCTTTAAGAATGAATTTACACAGTACTGTTTAAATAGTGTTTAGCAAATGCTGCTGGAGTTCGAAATAATGTCCACTTCTGGTTTATTTTGAATGCAAGTTTACTTTAAAAATAAAAGTGAATTAATAATGATAGACTCTTCTTTTTTTTAATATAGTTCCTGGTTTCATCATAACGTTTCTCCGAGTGTGTGTACAGTTCAGGCTGCTTGTGTGGGATTGATAAACAGATTTGCTCTGAACAAGCTGACATTAAATACTTAAGTGGTGTGTGTATATATATATATATATTCATTCTGCATGCATACAGCTTTTATACATTCTGTGGCGGGAGGAGCAAACGACAGACACAGTGGGTGTGGCGTCAGGCCTCGGAGAGGCTTTTATTAACAGAAAAATAACAAAAACAGGGAATAAAGTATCCAAAAGGGAATGGTGTTCAAAATAAACGGGATCTGGTGTCCTCGTCGTGCTGCGGGATACGTGAAGGTGGGGCAGTGCTCGGGAAGGAAGGATCCAGGTAAGGGGCGGAGTCCGGCGGCCGCACGCGTGCCCCTCTCCGGTCCGGGACGCGAGGGGCGGCAGCTTCTGGCATCGACTTCATCCTTCGCTCTGCCCACGGCGCTTGAAGGGACTGGACGGCCCGGCATCCTGGCCCGACGGTTGTGTAACGGGTACGGTTCTCATCCGGAAGCTCGCATCTTCGGCGCTACGGAGATCCCTCAACGAGCCCTTCCTGGACCCACGAGGACACCAGCGTGAATGCACGGGGAAGAGACCGGTCTCCTGAAGAGAGGCGCGCTCGGCCTTTAACAGCGGCGGTGATGAGGCTCCATTCGGTTCAGGTGTGCCTCATCACACGCCGCCAGCCCTGGCTATTTCAGCGCCCCTCCTCTCTCACGCACCCACTCCTGTCAGGAGCCTGGCGAAGGGCGGCGATTAAGGGACGGGGTGATGCTGATAATTAGGGGGGAGGCAGCCGACTCCTCACAATTCATAACCTAAAATGTTGTTGTTCATAAAAATGTCCACAGATGATAGAAAGAGGCTAGAATAGATTCTGACATAAAATATTTGATTTTTAGAATAATCAGTGCAATTGTCATTACAGTCTACTTTTTTAGTCAACCTTCAAGCGAAAAGGCATAGGGTAGAGGTTTTGTTTGAGTCATGTTTACTCACAAAATATTCATATGGTGAGTGGTGGAATTGTAAGTATCAATCATCATCAGAAGTTTATCATGAAAGTAGCCAGAAAGAGAAAAATAATAGCATGCATTTGAGCTGCAAGCTTTCTGTTCAGTGCAAAATTATTCTCAACATCCCAAGATAATGATTTCAGGCTTCGTTCTCCAGTGGGATATTTTGAGCAGTCTGACATATCGCAACAAAAACTGAATGCCACATCAGCCTTTTAGGAAAAGTATACTTAATAATGCATAACATGTTCCGATGTCACAGCAAAGTGTGCGCTTGGCAGTGGAGGGTGATGTCTTGAGCGGAGGGGCATTGTAGGCTTTTGTGAGTGGAGATTGAGAAACAAACTCCTGAAGCTAAGCTATACCACAAATTGCTAGAGTCGAGAGTCGCCCTGTCAAGCGGCCTGTGCCTTCACACATGAACAGAAAGTGACAGAACATGCCAAGGATGAGATTAAGCTACACCACAAATGGCATTGCTAGAGTCGAGAGTCGCCCTGTCAAGCGGCCTGTGCCTTCACACATGAACAGAAAGTGACAGAACATGCCAAGGATGAGATGAGAGAAAGAGAGGGAGAATGAAGAGCAAGCGAGGGAGAAGTCAAGCCTGGCTTAGCAGCTGCGCTAAGGGAGATCCCTTTCTTGCGAGGCCAGGGACCGGTCTGCTGCAGACAATCAGATTGCATTATGGGATAGGAGGTCTGCCAGGTTCAGTAGCAGTCATGGAGTGTAAACAAACCTGTGCTCTGATTTTGCCTTCTACTGACAGGCTAAGTCACATGCAGCCGTCATCAAGTCTTCTGCTTGCAATTGCCACACATTATGATGAAAGAAAGATCTTGCATCTGAATATTAGAAGAGGTGACACAGAGGAGTGGATGGTTGTGCTGTGGATAAGTCTGGATTAGAGCAGAGATCATCAGACTCTGTGGGTGTATGTGTTGGGCTGTCATGTTTAGGGAAAACATACTCACTCCCTGCTGCACTCGATGTTTATTTATGAGACCTGTCATATTGGCAGGCTGTTTATGGTAGAATCACTGATCCTGTGCAGGTGGGCGCTGAAATCCCTAGAGAGCAGATCTCATCGAGCGCTGCACCTCCGTCTTTATCACAAGCTGAGACATGAATGACAGAGAAAGAAATGTGGTGACAGGAAAAAGGATTTTGGGATAGAAGATGGAGGGTGGTTTATAAAATTTGATATGTAATCAAATTAAAAGTAGACATGGATCTGTTCTGGAAGGCCTAGTTTAGTAGAACTGATGTTTATGAGCACCTATATGAGGTTTAGACATGAAGGTATGCTTCTGTAGCTCAGAGAACAAGATCGAAGTGGACATCAAGAAAGGGAAGGATGTGCTTCACAGCATAAAATGGATGAGGAAATCTGAGCCGCTAGTCCTAGTCCTGTAGGTCATATGAAATCTGTGAACGATTTATCGGTTTAAATAAAATATTAACGTGGCTTACTGGTAAAGCTCTCATTCTTAAATACATATTCACCTGCATGAAAAGGGATGCATATTTGTCATGTGGTTTTTGGTTTGTTGACTGTGAGGATGCATTGTCCACCTGCGGTTGCCAAGCAAATTGATTTCTATATAGGTGATGTGTAGATAGATTCGATTTTGCTATTTTTTTGAAAGGAAAAAAAAGTCTTGTTAAAAAGTTTGGCTAAAAGTTTTTAGATTGTTTGTTGCTTTTACAGTTAAAGCAAAAAATAAAAAATCCAGACATGATTTTTGCTTACCAACTGAATAAAGGAAAACAAATTTAAATATATATATAATAAATTTTTATATTAAGTTTTTTCATGTAATATAAAATGAATATAAGCATTCATTTTATATTATAGCAACAAGATAAGAGACTGCATATTTTTAAATATGTAAATAGTAAAAAAAAAATTGTCTGAAAATGACAGTGGAATGCGACTAGATAGATAGATAGATAGACTCGTAAAAATTACCATGTAACTATGGTTGTTGTTTTCCCCCCATACTAAACCAGGCACCCAGCAGATGACGCATATGACTTCCCTGTCATAGTGGGATTAAACGATGAGATTGTTTGTGAATCCCCTCATCAGGGTCCTGTGTTAAACAAAATAGATGTTAGATGAGGTGACCCGCCTCAAATCACCCTGCTCTGTGTCACAATGCATTCTGCACTCTGCACCAGCCACATCACCATAGGCAGCGCAGAATAATTAAGAGGATTCATATATGGATCATCGAAAGTGATAACAAGTGGGCTCGCGTGATCTTTAATGTGCCCTAGAAACTTATCCTCCCTGTATCTCTAATGGCTCATTACATTGTCCTCTTTTCCTCTCTCCTCCCTTGTCTTTCTCTCTCCCTTCCCTTCCTCAGTGTCTCAGATGAATTTTGTGCCCATCGAGAGCTGCATGCCAAAAGCATTTTGAAAAGCAAATTTTCAATTTTTTGTCCCCCATCCTCAACATTACAGCTGTTAAGAGGTTTGTCCCACCTACTCTTTCCCTCTCTCCTGCTGTCTCCTTCTTTCCCGCCCTGTCTCCTCACTCTGTCCTTGGTAAATCTGGAGGATCTAATCACACCCTCCATCCATAGTCTTGGATAATGGTCGTTGTGATTGATGTGATGAGTTTTAATAGGACATGTCCATGCTTTAAGATTCATAATAAACGGACCTTTACCAATTCTACATGTATTCATTTGGATTAATCCATAGGTTAAATGTCTAAGTTAAGCAGTGAAACAAACAGACTGAATTATGTTCTTTCATTTAGTGTTTTTTTTTCTTTATTTTTTCCTCCCTAAAGCATACTTTTGTTCTGGTTTTCATTACAGCTAATGTGACTAATCTGTGCTTTTCAAAGTTTAAGTACATCTCTGATCCTAAAATATTTGCCTTATGATGAACTCTTTCATCCACTGGCACCAAACACCCTTTTATTTAGGCAGCTTTGCTCAACAGTCAGAATGTGATTTCATGCTCCATGTTTTTCTAATTGGAGATTATGCTCCATTATGACCCTACTCAACTCCCTGTTCTGTGATTTTACAGTGACAATGATTGTTCACATTATCCCTTCTGCACTAGAATGTGCATGAGCTTTGATCTGGTGAGAAAAGAGCTCCCGTCTGAGGGTGGTCCACTGCGAGACTGCGCTGTGATCTGACTCACCGCTCCACCTCGTTTGGGGCTCACAAGGTTAATTGATTACTGTGGGGCTGGTGATGGGATGAGAGTGGGGTCAGCATCTGTATTGACTGGACAGACTAATTAACAAGCACTAAATCGCTCCTGGTCACCGCTTTGAGAACGTTTGGTAGGTCGTCGTCAATTATCCCCCTGCCAGCCTCCGTCAGGGGGAACTGGCAACCTTTGCTCTCACTGTATTTTGTAGCTGTGCTGTGCAGAAACTGTGTTTTTGCAAAACGCACGTGGATGACTCTAACTGCTCTGTAACGATTGCTCTTAGCAGACAGCCAATGGGTTACAAACTAATTGAATCTAAAAAACATTTCATATGGTAGAAATGGTTACACATTGTGTGATGGGTATAATGATTGTCCGAAAAAAAATCAATCTTCTGATGTTGACAATGAGCACATTTACGGACAACAAAACTCTTAACTATCAGAAATTGGCTCATTATGAAAACCTTTCTTTAAGAGATCACATGCAAATAAATAAATTAAGTTTTTCATGGAAGACCATTCAAAAGTATTCTGACAAAATACCCTTTTTTGCTATATCGCCACAATTTTCCCAGTTTTGTTTTGGAGGACATGCCATTGGAATGAAGGGGAATGCTAACAGATTTCAGGTTTTTTCATTTTAGTAAAGACTTCATTGTTAGAAATCTGATGTAAATAGACATATACATTGAATAACCTAACAGTTTGTATATGCAAAGCAACATGTGAATAGCAAGCATAAATATCTAGGTGTCGATCTGGTTTTCCATGTTAAAAGAGCACCACTTAAGACATTTAGATTTCTTTAAACATTATCAGAGTAATCAGTGTACGCCTTGCAATGTAGGCTACTGTAGAATTAGAATCAAATACAGTAAAACAAAAAAAGTGAATGAGCCTTTGATATTTTTTTTATTTTTATTTTTAAACATTCAGTTGTTCAGATCTCACAAGACCTTAGACATGGATCCTTTTCTGGCTTCTCCTTCTATGTAGTATTTATTTTGTATTTTGTTTTACTTCAGTGCATCATTTTACTGTTCTAAAGCACAACAGATAAAAGCAGAACTTTGTTGAAGTTGAGTTTTTTTCTGCAAATTCCATTACTTGTTGCAGCTTTGTATTTTCAGACCTACCATTCAAAGACCCCACACATGCCTCAGAGAATGAGTCACTGGATGATTCTGGATGAACTCAGATGAAATATCTGTTCATTACAGTAGGAATGAAGGCATTGTGGGACCGTAAGAATCCATAAATAAGTTAATCTTTATCTAAAAAGCATTCTTCATCTCCACTAAAATATATAAATATATAAAAATCTACTATTCCAAAGTTAGAAAGGTATTACTCACTTTCTGAAATAAAAATTATTGGTTCAACCTAATAGGGCTGTTTTCAAGTTCAGATCAACTCTGCTTCAACTGTGTGTGTGTAAACAATCAGTCAAGCATCAGTGGTGGTGGTTTCAATGTGCAATGCATACTGTGAAATATTTAGATTGTGAGCTAGTTTTCATAAAAACATTTAATGTTGTGCATTTCACATTATTATATCCTTACAGAAGCAGTTTACAGGCCTCCTTTAGGGTCACCGAAGTGACTTCAGCTTGCTGCTGAGCAGCAGATAACGTGTTTCTATAGTAACTTTTGTGAGAGTAACCTTGTGATTTTGCCTCCTATTCACAATTTCATCAATTCCTATACAAAAGGCATCCAATCAATAATCAGCTTTGCACTTATACTCTGAATTCTGACCTGAACCCTCTACATCCTGTAATTTCATTTAGTGATACATGTAGCTGTCGGTCTATATTCAGTATCAAAAGAGCGTTTTGAGTGTAGTTACAGTGGAAGAGAATGGGTCTGCAGGGGATTATGGGTAATGCCACGAGTGAATGCATGAAAGCTCTCCAGATCACGTTTTCTTTGATGGCCTTTTAGATATCTGATGTTTCTCACAATGCACAGCAGACACCTGACTGGCACCACCTCATAGTAGTCGGAGCACTAATTTCCCCTTCCTGTCAAACTCTATCCCCTAACTGATATTCACCATCACCTTTCTCATTTTTCTGTGCAGAGTGCAGATGCCAAGCTGCAGTAAAGGATGATTGACAGAAGGCAAAGCTGAGACGGCTGTCAGTCAACATCCAGCTAGAGAGTCGATTCATCAGAGTGTCAGAAGCCTTGCTCTCTCTCCAGCCCGACCGATCACTTTGTCTTCTCTGCTTCCACTTCTCTTATCTCTGCTGGCACCCTGAACCTGCCCCTTCCCAGCAGACACAATAAAGACCAGAGGTGGAGACAGAAGCATCGGTCTTGACGACCTTACAGTGACCAAAGGGAAGCTGGTATGCTGCTGCACCTCTTCTGTCCCACGTTCAACAAAAGGATTATTTTGTGAACCAGACCCAGATCTTCCTCACCATTCCCTCTTTCTCTATCTCTCCTTCTCTCATGCATCTTTGAGAGGAAGGGCGCAGACGGATACTTTACATCACAGTGAATAGTCTGTTGGAGGGGCGGCCCGAATAAAGGAAGCAGCCATGCGTTTCCCACTGCTCTTGACACTGCAGGCATCATGGCTGACAGTTTGTCAGGCCACGCAGCACTATCCCACAACCTGGGGACACTACGACTTGTGCAAGTCAGAAGGCTACACGGACGAAGGCCCAATCTGGTATTACATGGCCTGTCAGCCGGAAGCCGCGGACATGACCAAGTACCTAAAAGTGTTTCTTGACCCACCCAACATCACCTGTGGAGACCCACCAGAGACCTACTGCACCCTGGTGAGTGAATGAATCATATGATTGCACCTACAGTGTATTTACTACTTGTTGTGGCTTCATCTCATTTTATATCATTTATTAATGTGCTTGACATTTGATATGCAAATATATTCATGGTGCCACATACAGACTATCACATACAGTTAAACAGTTTTGAAGTTGTGGGATTGATCTGCATATTCTACAACCAGTAGGAACAGAGATGCTCACAAATACCTGACAAAGTAGATTTCATTCATTTAGGCCATTATAACTGCTAATAAAGACTCAAGAGTAGTGCAGATGAAACCTCAGTTAAAGTCACATTTGTGTTAGTGTAAATGGTGTCCACTTCCTGTGCCGGGTCATCGACTGTTTCAATTTATATGGTTAATTATCTTGTTTCATCTTTGGTGGAAGCCTTCATTAGGCCTTTGTGGAGAAAATGCTGTCTGTCGTTAGCATTGAAAATGAGAACTAGAAAAGAGTTAGAGATAGAAGAAGAGAGAGAGAGATTGATGAACGAGGCACTTAAAAAGTCTGTCTCTTTTTGAGGAGGTGAGCTGCATGTCTTTTATGGGCAAGTCTTAAGTGTTTAATTAGAAAAATGTCATTTGTACATTTACACACGGTTCTTTGAAACTCACACCTGGCCTGCACTATTAGAAATGAGTTAATGGTAATCAGTGTGCTAGTGTGTGTGTTTGTGTGTGTGTTTTCGAAGACTCAATGCCTAACATCTGAAGTTTAACTACAGGTTCAGAGAGTGAGTGAGAGGCTGTTTACAGTATTTAAGAGGTGAAAATAACGAGTGGAGTGGGACAGTCCAATGAGAGTCCGCTGAGTGACAGAGGACCTAATATCTGGCGTGCAGGGAGTAAAAAGTGAATTATTCAGTATGTTTTGTCGCTAATGTGTTTTATTCATAGGATACATTATTCAGAGCCATATCTGGGAGGCACTTTTGAAAATGCTGACTCTCTCTGATAGATTCTCAAGGTTAGAGCAAGGGCTGTTATCCATTTTGGAGGGTCAATGTCACAATATAGCTCTGCTCTCTGGTTTCCCAAGGGCCCATAGTAAAATAAATTGACACATAATTTTACCCCAGCACACCAGTCAGTTAGTATTGCAATAACAGATGTCTCACAAACAGCATGCACTGTGGTCATGCCTGCCTTCATTCCTGGCCCCAGTATTACTTATACTTATAAAATGTCTGTGGCTGTTATAATAGAAATATAGTTCCTAGTTGCAACAAACCTGATTTAACAGTTGAGTAGACTCATAGGCCAAGTATAAAATATTTATTGTAAAACATTTCTGATATTGCTAGTTGATCAGGCCCCCTTGTTGTTAAGCAACATAAATTGCAATTGTCCAGCCTTGAAATCCACTCGGTTTTCTGCCAGTGCATCGAGTCCGATCAATTTCTGTGCTGTTAGCCATAAATTGGCAGCAGACATTACATAGATATACTGATTATGCCAATAACAGTTTTTATGATGTCTGTAATCATTCTTTTATTTCCGGCTATTGCCATTAGTGTTCTTTATACAAGAGCTCAATCCTCCGTAATTGATTTCTACTCAGGCTGGCCATGGGCTTCTCTCTCCCTCCCTCTCTGAGGCTGCTGGGCTGTTTCCTCTGATTAGACCTGTAACAGCCATCGCAGGCAGACAGCGAACCCGCTCCAGGCTGGAGAAAACCAAGCACTGGAGAGACCAATGCTTTACCCTGCAATCTGAAGCGCAGGAAGCTGGACAGATCCATTTGTGAAAAGCTTTTATACTGCCATGGGTGATGACCTTCTCTATGGCAAAAACTTGACCCTCGTGCCCTACACAACATAATAATGCCTGCTCAGACACTCTTTAAGTGGAATCTGTGCTTTAGACAGTGCTGTTTGTCTCTGAATGTTTGTGTACTTTTGTTGTCCGAAATTGTGGAATTAATGCCAAAGACTTTTAGACTTGGATAACATGTCATTGCAAGTCAGTTGAGGACATATACTTTATCACAATTTGTGCACACTCACTAGTGGGGTGGTAGTCGGCCCCGCTTCTCTATTTACACCAAAACATCTCAAACTTGCTCACAATCTGTATGTCTTATTCTCTGTCTCAACATCTAAACTTTTAAAGGAAATGTCTCTAACATTTTATAATTAATGCTCACCACCTCAAGCTTTTGGCCCTTTGAGCGTATCCAAAAAGTTGCCCTTGTATTTAACCTCTTGAAATTCTCTCATGTTAGACCTCTGCTCAGGTCTTTACACTGTCTGCCAGCAATTGCTAGAATAAATTTAAGACCTGCCTAAAATGCTGCTTTGGTCTGTGCCACCACTATCTTTAGACTTTAATCAAACGGCTCCAACCTGGTCACTGCTATCAGCCATTTCTGTCACCTTGCTTCCCAATTTCTCCATGTTCACACTTTTTTTTCCACACTTGCCTCTCGATATTGGATGTGAACTCTCTAACTATCAGTACAGCCAGTTTCAGTAAAAAAAAAAAAAAAAGAAGACCTCATGCACCACGATAAAGGACCATTAAAACAAATTTGGCAATGGTTTTCATATTTACAGTTAGATGTAATTCAAAAAGCTTGTTCATCAGTCATGTGGCTTGACACAATTCAGCGAGATGCTCCTCACTAATGCAACAGCCTCAGAAGACCTCTCCTTTCATCATGTGATATTATACATCCTAGAAAGAAGATCTGAATGGCATAGCTGTTTTTAATAAGGATAATGAAACAATTACACAGTTAAAGAAAGAAAACTAGATTGTGGTTAAAAAATCATAATGGCTTTCAGCTGAAGATTGTCCCATTGCAGCATTACTCAAGCTTTCATTATTCTATAAAGTGACTCCGCTTTATTTATGTTTTGATACATAATTCTGACCTTTTCCTGCATATTTCTGAGTGATATTGCAGAGCTCAGGGAGTGATGGAAGACATTTTGGTTCATCAGCCTTCTCTTAGAGCAGTGCCATTCCTCAAGTGGCTTAGCATTGACATTTCAGTGAGATTTGAGTGTGCTGTCAGCTACAATATGCCTCCTCTCATATTTAAATGTGTGTCTCAATGAAAGCCGAGGGGAAAAGGCTCCTGCCAATACAGTGTAGTCTCAGACAAATGGTGACATTCAACTTTAATCAAATAGTTTATTCATGCCGAATTCATGCTGAGAGATTGCACAAAACCAGTCACAAAGCAGCTTTTCAAAAGTGCTGACTTTCATGAATGGACTGAGGCAAATATTTGCATTTTAACACTATTGAAAAATTAATTACTTTTCAATAGAGCTGTTAAACATCTGAGTAGTTGTGCCACATGATTGATATATTTATTTGTTTTCTTTTTAGCCCAGTTGTAGAGCTGATAGAAATCAAAGGCTGCTGTAATGGCTGACTAAAGTGGCTGCTTGGTATCAGAGCCTAACACTCAAAAAGTGAACAAATCAGATAGAATTATCAATCTTAATCAGGCGTTAGAACAACCCTCTAGAATAAAAATGTAAAGCCTGGTTCAGACACAATTTTTTTGTCAGTTACGTCAATCATTGTGTCAGATTATGCGATTTTGTCTCCTAAAATCTTGTCGTGTCGTGAACAAGAACCATGTCAGACTACACATTGCTGCCCGACCATTCACCGCTTGCCGTCTTTAACGGCATGCGTGCTGTCCTCGATACGGTGGGAATAGACAGAACGTGCCATGAGTGTAAACAAACAATGGCTAGCAAACAGCATTTTTGCCCTGTTTTGCCGTTTTATCATCAGAAAACAGAACACTCTGTCGCGGTAGTCCCTCAAGGAAACATCATAAATGCAGGAGTATTATTGCCGTAGCTCCACGAACATTTCCTCCATTGTAAAATTCCACCTAGCAGGACCGATACCATTGTCTCTCTTTTGTTTCGGCATGTTTGAAAGCATGTACAAAGGCGCTTCTCTGCTCCTATTGGCCATGTCACAGATGTGAGGGAACTAGTTGTGGACGATGGAAAAAAATATTAAACATGCTAGTCTTTCTGTGGTGAAGTCGTGAAGCATCGCAGACGTGGCATCGGTTGTCATGACACACTACACGAGATGAAACGATTGAATCTTGCCTCCCAACGCCCATTGTCGTTTACGAATCCCCACGACACCCTACATCAAGCAGATTATGCCAAAATCGGGCTAAAATCGTGTAGTCTGAACCGGGCATAAGACATAGAGCATGTATGACATCGAAGAATGCTTTGACGGTTCAGCTCTTTGAAAGTCTAGCAGAAGCATATTTAATTTACATTTACATTCTTCATCATGTTCTTGATTTTAGACTTTTGTATCACTACTTATGTATAGCACTAGTGGTCGACCGATACGGGTTTTTTGACAGCCGATGCCGATATCTTGGAAAGCAGGGTGGCCGATGGCCAATATAAAGCCAATATAATTTTATTCAGTATTTTGCGAAGTTGTGTTCATTGGGAATCATATATTTTTTTTGTATACAAATAAAGCCAAGGTAACACTCATTTTACATATAGCACGCAATGAAAATGACATAAATATATGACGGTGGGCAAATGCATAAAGTGTAGCATAATTTGAAATCACGAGTTTAAAGTTTGTCGATCGCGCGTCTCCAGTGAAGCTGAACTCTCCTCCTGTCAGCATTCAATTCATATGGACAGACCATCACGCAGAGCACACGAGATCATGCAGGATACAAATGCACACTTCACAAGATCTAGATTTGACTAAGTCTGCAACGTTTGTGAAATTAAATGTTCATTAATCATTCAAAGATTTGTTTAAATGATATAAATGCGTATTTGCTGAATGCTGACGGCAAACGAGAAAGTATTATAATGTTTGCCTTTCTATTACTAATAATATTAAAGCAATCGTCATAATACTTTTTTGTATACCTTTTAATTCCTTTGTTTAACAGTTCTGTCTGATTATTAGATAGACTTCTATCCATATTAGACAGAACTGAACGATGACAGCGAACAAGAGGGA